CCCCCTTCTCCCTCCTCCTCCTCTTCGACTGCTATAAAAAGCCGCCTTGTTTGTTCCCCTGTTGTCATGGCCGTCTGTCAGATGGCCACCTAATTAAGCCCAACTTCTGAACCAGCCATTCTCAGCCTGTGGGTGGTGACTCCTTTGGGTGTCAAATGAGCCTTTCCACAGGGGTCACCTAAGACCCTCAGAAAACAGAGATTACATTGTGGTTCATCACAGGAGCAAAGTTGCAGCTTTGAAATAGCAATGATAATGATTTTATGGTGGTGTCTCTACAAGGTGAGCGACTCTATTAAAGGGTCGAGCATTAGGAATGTTGAGATTGCTGCTGTAGACCTTCAGGCCTTAGAGCACAACTGGTTCTTCAGTTCTGGGTCCCCATTTAAGAATGAGAAGGGGATCCCTGTGGCAGGACTGGGAACAGGCTTGCACAGTGGGCCTGTTTCCCATGCTTTACATCACATATTCCAGGCACCGTCCCTTCCTTCCTGCATGAAGGAGAAAGAGTGGGGTGAGTGGGGAGACCTGACTTTTCCCACCTGGCTGAGCTAGACCCCTCTGGAGTCTTGATCCCTGTATATGCCTCTGCTCAGATTCTACCTCAGCACCACAGCTGGAGCTCAGAACAGCTGAAGAGTTTAGACACTCATAGTTCAGTCCCGGAATGGGACCAGGCACCCTCTACCCAGGACAGAGAGGAGGGCCAGCTGGGCACTGACAAGTGGTTTGTGCAGGGATCTCAGTTGAGGGATGGATGGGCTGAGGGAAGCTCCACGGGACAGGTCAGTGTCTCTGAGGATGTCTCTACAACCCTGTGACCTCACTGGAGGGAGTCATACCCAGACTCCTATTCCCACTGACTCTATCCAGAATTTCCAGAGACTGACTAGACCCTGTTGTGTTCTGGAAGCCCTGGACAGCAGCTCAAGTGCTTCCCGCTGCTGGGATGAGGGAGAAAGTTGCAGTAGGTGTGGTTTGTTTTGTGTGAACTTGACACAAGCTAGCGTCTTCTAAGAAGGAGCCTCAGCTGAGGAAATGCCTTCATGAGATCCAGCTGCAAGGCATTTTCTCAACTAGTGATCAATGTGGGAGGGCCCAACCCCTGGTGGGTGGTGCTCTGTCTCTGGGTTAGTGGTCAAGCTCAGACCCAATCTTCCAGTCAGGTTCTATATTGCAGCTCAGAGATCTGGGGAATGTGATATTTAAATATTTAATTATAAACAAAAGCTTTTCATTACAAAAAGAGACAGGTTGGCTCCCAGCAGCAGCACTCTTATTTCCTCCAAAGAAGACAGAAGACAAATGGACACACAGAACAACGCCCAACTGCCGAGCGCTGACCATTGGGAAAAACTGCCTTTCACCTAAACAACTGTTCCAGAGGTGAACAGAATCGCTGGAATCGACAGCCTAGCTGCTCAGGTCAAGGTAGGCCTATCTTCCTACAGATTTCTTAGCCTACTGAGTCTTCTGGAGCCTGGCAGGCCTGGCGCTAACCAGCAAAGTTCAAGCACAACCTTCAGCGATCATGGAGGACCCAAAAAGAGTAGCTCTGGGTGCCAACCAAGTAAGTTCTCTGTCACTTTTTAATCAGTAACTCAAGTAAAATCTTATCCTTCTCAAAGATCTCTGATACAGTCTGATAACTGAGAGGTTTTGCCAGATTACCTCACCAAACAAATTTCAAATCAACTTTCTCTCTTATGCTGCCTTCCATAGTCTTAAAAAATACTTTTCATTGTACAAAATTATGCCACAGTCATTATGTGTCTAAAACTTCTGTTTTCACAAACCCAAGGAATTCTTGTGAGTTCCAGGGAGATGAATTAAAGAATCCACTTTAAACAGGTCAGATACCCCCTCAATTCCCTGGTCCTAATTTTTTTTCCTTAATTTAACTTTGTTCTTTGTTCTGCCAATACCTTAAACAGGATAAGAGACATCAGACATTTCCATGCCACAGACACTGGTCAGAAGCAAAGCGACCAGGATGTGGCCAGCACCCAGCCTTCTCAGGTTCCCCCCCCCAAAGACGATGCCCACAAATAAGCCGGAAGCAGTCTTGAGAATTCGCTGCCCTAATTCCCTCAAACTGTGGTATCTAATCTCCTGTGTTTTATTATAAGAAAGAGATGGGAATGTTATGGTTTTTGTCTCTTTAAGAGGCAAGCCATGCTCACTCCCAGCGACCCCTGCTCCCCCCTCTTGGAGCGCACATGTCTCCCACTTCCCACTTTTCTGTCTCTTTCTTCTCTTCTCCTTCCCCCACACTCGCTCTTTCCCCTAAGTAATAAATATTCAATTCTATTCTGTACGATGTGTCTATGTGTTTTCAACCCGCTGCCTGCTCACACCTGCCAGCCCACTGGGGACTGGCTGCTCTGTGGGCCTGCCTGCTGCCACCGGGGACCCGCCAGCATTTTCCACCATCAGCTGCTCGGGACTCGCCAGCATTTTTAAAACTGTGTAAGAAAATCTGACTGGGGCTAGCCAAGGTTATTTATGGTGATGACTACTCAAGATGGCTGACGCTGTGACAAACTGCCCAGCGAGGTGTTGGACCCTGCAGCCAGAGGCACTGGCCCCTCCTCCACTCCCTCAAGCTCACACTACCCAACCCCCTCCCATGGAGCAACATTCTTCACATTCCTCTCCTTCCTCACCTACCCCCCCTTCTTAATCCAGAGGCTCAAGGTCAACTTTTACCTCACCCACCTTCCCCTCCCCCTCTTACCTCCTCTCTCCTACCTTGGACTCCCTCTGAGCACTGGGCTAGCCCCTCACAATCCTCCCCAGTCTCTTCCCATACCAGATCCCACTATAGCTCCGCCCTTCTTTGCCCACTCCAGGAAGTGGCGGGAGTTAATGGCATTATGAAGGTTCGTGTTCCTTTTTCTCTTCCAGATCTCTCTCAGATAGAAAAGCAGCTAGGTTCCTTTTCTACTAATAATTCTGCTTCCTCAGTCAGTACCAGATATTAAGAAAGAGTTTAAAAAAGAAAAAAAAAGGTTGAGGGTGGTCCCCAAACTTTTATATGGGAATTGATGAAAATGGCCTTTTTTAATGCCTGAGAAGAATCTGCTGAGTCTTCCCAGCAGACAAAGTTACAACAATCTACAGACCCAGGCCTTACCAGCTGCCCTAAGGTCACAGGAAGGGGGACAAGGGAAGCCAATCACAGGGCTCTATCAAGTGTGGCCTAAATGGTCACGTGGCATGATATTGCACTACACCTGCTCCGAGGTTATGCCCCATTTTGTTGGACTAGAAGTCCTAACATCAGGGAGGAGTTGCTCCAGACACCACTCACACAGCCACAATTGATGCAAAAGCAAGAGGATTTTTATTCTGTCATGACAGGGCCCTTCAGGTTCAGGATGGGAAGGACAACTGATAGCTGTTACAGTCCATCTTTTAAAGCAAAAAGCCACAGACACAAGGGGGAAAACTGTAAGTTGTTTTCCAATTTATTGGATTGGCTTATTCAAAGGGTTACTAGCAGTGATTGGTTGTAGACCGCCTTGGCAGGTCAGTTAGTCTAGGGGTTGTAACCCACCTGGCTGGTCAGTTATTCCAGGGTCCTGGAGAGGCGCTATCTGAAAAGACATGGGCGGGAGAGAGGAACGAGGCCAAGCTAGGTTTGTCAAAGCCTCTGTTTATTAGCATCATGGTTGCAGCTTATATAGCCCCTGGATGAGGAATTTGGATTGGGATGGGGGGCAGGGGCATGGGCAGGAAGGAATCTTGCAGCGATGGTTCCAGCTGGTCACGAGGTCGTCAGCTGCATGGTCAGGTGATAAGGGAGAGCATCTGTGGTCTTCCTAACCTTGGTCCAGTGACTAAATCAATACATCAGGAACTGAGTCAACACCTGTGGGTTGTATTTGCCTCAATTCCCAGAATGGAGTATGTTTGAAGATGATTATTCACAAAGACACAGGAGGATGAGCAGTCCAGCATGTGTGTGTGTGGACGACTGTCCCTTTTCCAAGAGAGAATGAATGTAAGGTTCTAGAAAAATGTCTTAGGGTTGAGGGGGCTTACAAATGCATTTAGATTTTTTTAACCTTAGGAATTTTGTCTGTCTTAATTTTAAATTACAATGCAATTGGAAAAACTAATAAAAGGGAAAAAAACTATATAGCAAATGCATTTAGAGTTTTTCACTATCTGCCAGCAACCTGGACACTGGAAATCACAATGCCCCCATGCTGGCTTGTCCTCTATGCCAAGCCACAGAGGTCTGGCCTCATCACCATCGGCAAGTAAAACTGTGCCAGCCTTCAAATGTCTCAGCCTTGCAGGATTGACGCTGCTCAGACTTGGTATATCCCGTGACCCTCTCCTAGCCTAGGGTCATGCTACAAGTGGTGGGTAAGTCCATTACTTTTATTTTCACTTGGGCCTTACCAATTTCAGCTATGGGGGTAGACGGGACCCGTTCCTCCCCACTTAAAACTTTGCCACTGCCCTACATTCTTGTAGGACAATTTTTTCTCTCATTCTTTCTTAGCGATACCGGCTTGCCCAGCACATTTACTGGATGGAGATATCCTTAGCTGCTTCCCCAAAGCTTTCTTCCACTTCTTGGAGCCCCTTTTAACCCCACCCATCTCCAAGATTCTATTTATAGGTTCACTCCTCCTGCCAGACGTGTGCCCAGGCCAGCCCATAAGGAGCTCTCCACATACACCAGTCTCTACACCAGCTTCGTGGACACCAACCGGGCAAAGATTGACAGGTTAATTTTACCCATATGCCTACTCAAAAAAAAAAAAAATAAAAAAAACCTCTGTTATCTCTTAACACTCCAGGCTCAAGCGGGCACCTGCTCAGGACACTTGATCTGTCCAGCAAACAGGACCTTCCATCCTCTGGTTTTCCAGGATGCCACAATGAAGGGCCTTCCTGCTCCTCATTCTGGCACACTCATCTTTAGCGATAACAATTTTTTTCCTAGACACCTGCCTTCTCTGGGATGACAGTTCATGGGATGCCTTTTCAGCCACACCACGTGGACACCTGGCTCTCGCCTTCCCCACGTTGCCCCGTGCCCGCAGGAAGTAGCCAGATTTGAGTCTATGCCCTTTATTCCCAAGAGAGCCTAAGTGTTTGTCATAATTACCATTCCAATTTTCTGTCACCCCTATATCCAAAGAGTCTGGAATGTCAAGTTGGGAACGTAGGCCCCAGTCCCTTGCATCTATCCCAGCCCCCAGGCCTGGTCTGAACTCCAAATCCCAGCAGGCCAGATCCTGACCCCTCCCTGGGGATGGGGTCAGGACCACTCCCCCTTAAGGACCCCTCTTAAGGGTACTTAAGAGGAACACGTGGTCTCCCTTTCTTCCTGGGGGGGGATCGCCTTCCCACGGCTTCCCAGTTCCCCCTCGGGGCCACCTGAGAGTGCAGAACTCCCATTAAACCTGGGTATTTCTTAACTTGGCTGCAGGGAGCTAATATTAAGAAATATTCCTAACAAGGGGAAAGGGCGTCTTGCGGCGGTGGAGTCTTTCTAGTCTTCTCTCCCACTAGTTCTGGAAGTTTCACTCCAGTTTCCACTCCTCTCCCTTTCTTCTTTCTCTGCTCATGGCATCACACTTCCTGTTTGGAGACCCCACTTTCTGTTTCCACGCCGTTCTGCTTGCGACCACCACAGCTCTCCTGCTCTCTCCTCTGGCCTCTCCTGCAGGTGCAGGGGAATGACTTAGATTTCTGAATAAGGATCCTAAGCCTGATGAGAAAACCCGGATTCACAGAGGATTTTTTCTATGAAGGAAGGTTTTGGGGGAGAGGAACTGTGGCTTGAACCCAGGGTATCAGCAAAACCTCTGCCAGTGAGATATATCAGCCGACTTCTTAAAAAAAAAAAGCCTTATTATGAAACAAGGTCCTGCTACCCTGCCTAGACTGGCCTTGACCTTGTAATGCTCCTGGATCCACCTCTGGAGTGGTTCAGATTGCAGGTGTCCCCAACACAGGTGGCTGTAAATGTGTTTTGATGCCAAGTCCAGGGTATTAACAGCGACTACCCATGTTCAGAAAGGTCCTGGCTCAAGGGGCTTGCCAGCCTCTGAGACAGTAAGAACAATCTGAGCCTGGGACTTGACTGGGGTGGAGCATGCACTGTGAAATATGCATGGGTTTGCACATGGGTGTAGGTGTGAGGGAAATCAGGGACTAGCGAGGTTTTGCTGAATACCAAGTTGTGGTTTCTTTCAGAAATATCTAAGGATATTCACCTATTAGGATAGCAAAAGCCATTCACAGAGCCGAGGTGGGACAGGAACAAAATGAACCAGAAAGCCAGTAAAGGGGAAGAACTGAGGACTCTGTGCCAAAAGCCTGCAGGCTGCCCTTCCTGCCTACCTCAACCCTCTTGTTCCCACCCCTTCGGGTCTAAACAGAGGCCAAGCTCATTTTGACTCAGAATTCAGTGTTCTCTGCAAAGTCCTGGGCTGTACCTAGCGGCCATAGTGGGCCTGTGGAACTCATACAGGGAGAAGCAGATGGTGAGCCATCTCCAAGACAACCATCTCTTCGTCGTGGGCTGTGACTCCAGCCCCAGAATCCTGCTGGCCAGACAGCTGGACACATGAGGCTCGAGGGTGCTGGGTGAATAACTGTTGGGGAAGGAAGCTGAGCAGCTGGGGAGCAAGATATCAGACGTGTTGGAGACCACGACCCTGAGATTTACTGTAGCCTCTAAAGGGTGAAGGAATGTGTGTCGGGAGTTGGGGGGCAAAGGTACTACCCAGATTCCTCTTTGGGTCTTGTCTCTGTGTCAAGGGGACATCTCTTTTGTGCTCAAAGGCAAGATTCCTCCAAAGTGTGGGAGACTTGGAAAGAAAATAAAATAAAAAATATAAAACCAACTGCTAACTTCCTTTTTTCTCACGCACAAGCCATCATGAGCCTAAGAGGTGGAGGTGGGCAGATGGGTACAGGTTGTGGCCCAGCTGAGGGTGATAGGCATTCCATGCCGAGGAAAGAACCGAGGACGAGGAGGTGGCATTACTGTGGAACCAGGAACTCCTACAAACGTCCCAATTCAGAATTGAAGGTAGATGTGGAGAGAATGCATTAAAGATTTGTTGATTCTGAGCAGATTTCAAAGGCCACGACAGTGGTCTGACAAGTCGAAACTGCGCTGGGTGGCAGATCTCCTACGTACTAACCACTCACGCGTCCAGTGGTACTCACGTGAGCGTACTAACCACTAATGCATCATATGTGGTACTCACGTGACTGTGACTCCAAGGTTGCTCTTCCTCACAAACTGTAGGTCTACCATTCTGGTGAGTTCCATGGACTCCCCAAGGTATGGAACCAAGATCAGAGAACGTGGTAGAATCTAGTGGGTTGCTGGTGATAGTAATACATCATGGGGTTAGGAACAGAGACATAAGGGGAACCTCTCAGGCTCCCCTCATCCTTATGCCTGCCCCAGGCTTTTCCTGAGATATTAATCAGGATTCTGGGGAAATACAAGGAAGAGTGGACGCTGTTTCAGCTGAGGAGTTGTGTATATATGTGCAGTCAGCTGTCACTCAAGGCTCTGAAGCCCCCCCCCCACCCAGTACTTTGCTTTGGGGGATGAAGCATGAGCAGAGGCAGGGGAATTGGACTCAGTTTGTCCTGTCTCCTGCCTACCTCTTTTTTAAAAAATTTATTATGTATATAGTGTTCTGGGTACCAGATCTCATTATAGATGGTTGTATGTCATCATGTGGTTTCTGGGAATTGAACTCAGGACCTCTGGAACAGCAATCAGTTCTCTTAACCTCTGAGCCATCTCTCCAGCCCCCTGCCTACCTCCTTAGGGTAAGTTTTGGTGTGGCCAGTCCCTGCCCTCCCACAGGCTGGGAATGACCTGGAGGGAATGAGGCCTTTCTTCTTCTTCTGAAAGTCCTGTGGACACTGAGTGACCTTGAAAGGGACAAAGCAGGCTGAACTCTCAGGCTGCAAAGGCCAGAAAGGTGAGGAGAGCTGGGATTTGAAAGTAGGAGACACTCCCAGTTTTGTATGTGGCCCTACCACTCTCAGCCTACAGGTTTTTTGTTTGTTTGTTTGATTGGATTTTTTTTTTTAATTTGAGTCCAGGGAGCCACTACCTTAGCCAGAGTTCGTAGAGAGGCCTAGAAGGTATCTGGATCCAGTATAGGTCTGCCTCAGGTCAGTTCTGAATTATTCTACTCTGGAGTCAAACACCTCAGTCTTACCCTGTCCCCAAGAACTGGAATGCTTGCTGCCCCTCAGCCTGCTTAGCCCTTGAGGGCCACTGATGTCTCCTGGGCATAACTTCTTTGATCTCTCATCCAGGAGGCCAGCCCAGACTGGAGGAGGCTTACCAAGCCAGTCCAGTATGTGCCGTGGCCTTGAGGAAAACATGAAGCACGTAGGTTTGTCATCTACCGTTGCCCACGGGTCTGCCCTTCAGAGACGGCCACTGACCTGGTCCTCACCCCCAAATCTTTGGTACAGAATGACACAGCCTTGTTGTGTGAGGCCTACAGTTATGTTTGAAGTTTAAATTATTGTGCTTAAGAGATCTAGAAAACAAAAAAAAAATGCCTGTAAGCCCCACTTGCCCAAAGACAGACAATTTGCTGGGATGCTGGAACTGTTGCTCACATAAGATAGCCAGCCATGCATTTTCATATCTGTATACAGGGTTGGCTGCCCCATCTGCACGGGATGTGCTTGATCACCCGTAGGCAAGAGGTACATCAGGATGTATCCTTGTCCCCAATCAGACGAAGGCAGGAAGTGGGTAGCCTTGTGGGGTTTGCCTCTATAAGCACCTGACATAATTTGCAGCATTCTATGGGAATCGCAGGTATGGACCTGGCCAGTGTCTATACCAGTATTGAATAAAGCTTGCTTCAAATTTGGCTCGAAAAATGATGGTAGCGGTCTTATGCTTGCCCAGTGGGATCATCAGTTGGTGTGATAACACCCTCTACCTGCATAGCTGGCCAGCATCGGTAAACAGCGGGACACAGACATGTACCCGCTGCTCCCCTCTCTAGGGTGCCCTTGCACCCGACTTCTAAACAGGGACGAGGTCACTCGTGACCCAAGAAGGCACCCAGCCTTGCTCTGTCCCTGCAGCTTATGCAATGCTGGGTGTGGTCCCTCAAGACTCACCCAGCTTGCTTCCTCCTCCCCTCCGATTTTCTGTAAGCTCTCTGTTGCCTGGGATAGCTCTCTCTGCAAGCTCTGCCGCTGGCCTTTTCCACAGCTTCACCCTGCTCTCCTTACAATCATCTGCCTGGGATCTGAGACTCTGCCAGAGCTCCTCCCGCATTCCCAGCGGGTTCCTTGTGGTCCAGCCTCATCTTGTCTGACTGTCCTCCAGCCGGAGCTGTCCACTCCCTAACCTCCCTGTTGCTGCTGTCTTGCCTCCCGACTTTTCTAGCCAACTGCTGTTGTCTGTCCTTGGCCCCATACCTTCTAATCGTTTTGACGTCTGCCCTCTTATCCTTCTGGAGATCTAATTAGCCACAGTGACAAATGACTTACTAGCCTGGTCCCTGCACTGCCACCTCCCCTGCCCTCAGTTTCTTCAGTTCATCAATCCACCTAGAGTGTGCCAGGGTCTTGGGACAGAAGGGAAGACACCTGTCCCCGACAGCCTTTGTTTCTTCCATATTGGACTCCTGTGACTGCCTGGCCACCAGGGGGTAGGGTGGGTGGAATACTGGGTTGGTTTCTGGTAGATGATTTTCATGTTTTATTTGTTTGAGACAGAGTCCCACGTAGTGGGCTATTGACTAGCTATTATAGCTGAGGGTGACCTTTGAACTCTTGATCCTCCCAAGTGCTAAGATTACAAACATGTGCCACCCACCCAGCTGTTTAGTCTTCCTACTTTTTAAAAGTTGAAACTCCTATCTCCAGCCTCCCTCCGCTACAGAGACGCCTCACAGCCTCTGGAGTCAGCAGCGAGTCACACCCAGCCTGGGAAATCCCTGTGTGTTTTATCCTCTCTCATGATGGAGACTCCCTCAACACCTCCAAAGAAGAGAGATGGTCATGGTGGCACCCAGTAGTAGCAGGAGGGGTGTCACAGCTTGGCAAGTTTAGGCTAGGCCAGCCAGCGCTACTAGTGAGACTCTATCACAAAACTAACCTAAATTAATTCAAAGTCTCAAAGAGCGGATGCCCTGGAGTTCATTTCTCCTGGGACTTGGCGACTCAATTCAGCTTTTTTTTTGCTTTGTGTTAGTGACTTTGTCTTTTTTTATTTTCAGATAATAGAAATTAAATTTATTGGCATGCCTGAATGCATTGTAGATGGTTTTGATCCCTCGACGGGAGGTAAAAGCAGGGTGGGGTTTCCTTAAGAGAGCTCAGATCGGGGCTAAGCTCCCCTTTGCCCTCTCACGCCCCTTCCCAGAATGCACTTGAACTCAAGCTACTATGAATTTCTCAATTTTTGGTTCCCATTCCTGAAAGGTCAAGGAGAGAGGTGGAAGCAGTCACCAGGGCAGTCCTTTTGACAGAGATGACACGCTTCAGGTTGGACTTGAATTTCTTGCATCTGAGCTAATTGCTGTGCTGAGGCATCCACCTATAAAATTACAGAGCGGCTCACCCAGAGGCTCTGTGTCTATTGCAGGTCCCGGAGCTCTCTCTCCCTGTGGGCTCTGGCAGGCTGCCTGCTGGGTTCTAGGGACCAGCGTATCCTACCAATTCCTGGGCCCATCCTTGGACGTCGGCTCCAATGGCGGCCCTCACGGACCTCTCTTTTATGTACCGCTGGTTCAAAAATTGCAATCTGGTTCGAAACCTCTCAGAGAAGTACGTCTTCATCACGGGCTGTGACTCTGGCTTTGGGAACCTGCTGGCCAGGCAACTGGTTGACCGGGGCATGAAAGTGCTCGCTGCTTGCCTCACGGAGGAGGGGGCCCAGAAACTCCAGCAGGACACCTCCTACCAGCTGCAGACCATCCTCCTAGATGTCACCAAGACCGAGAGCATCAAGGCCGCAGCCCAGTGGGTGAGGGACCAAGTGGGCGAGCAAGGTGGGGTGAACTGCATTCCTTAACATTCTCTCTCTCTCTCTCTCTCTCTCTCTCTCTCTCTCTCTCTCTCTCTCTCTCTCTCTTCCTGGGAACTGATGTGCAAATGGAGTTGGAGAGATGACTAGGAAGCAGGTCAAGAGCCTCTGGTGCGGCTGAATCTGGAATCATGGCATGGTTATGGTTTGGCCAGCTGACATGAGGAAGCAACATCCTGAGGACATTTTCTCCCTCAGAGGTTCAGGACAGAGGCAGCATCTGGAATGTTCCAAATGTTCAAACCTCTAAAGATGGAGGTGCCTTTTGGAGACTTCAGAAGTCCCAGATTGGCTCCCATAGATGTGCAGTCACAGTTCTTGGAGGGCTGAGGCTAGGAGCAGCAAGGAAGGGGCAAGAGGTGGAATCCCACGGGTGGGGTGGGCCCATTTCTTCTGCACGTCCTCCAGCAGGGGCTTTCTCCCTTTAGGAAATGAACCTGTGTTGGGGGCTGTACCAAGTATGCATGGGGACTTTCTTGCCTGGTGAACTCGTGGCATACAGGGTGTGGACACAGGATTGCTTAGTTACAGGAACGGAGACGATGGGGAAGTTTTTGCTTCTGAAAACTCGCTAGGCCTCTGCCCAGAGCTCTAGCATTTAGCCCTGGTTAGTACATACTGCATTTCAGTTTTTTAAAAACTATGCTGTTATTATGGTGTGTGTGTGTGTGTGTGTGTGTGTGTGTGTGTGTGTAGAGAAGAGGCCAAAAGAGGGCATTGGTTCTATGGATCAGAAGTTACAGAAAAAGAAAACAGAGTAAGAACAAACTGTGTGGAAGCCAGAGGATAGGTTTTGCAAGTCAGTTCCCTCACCATGTGAACCCTGGGTATTGAACTCCGGTCACCAGGCTTGTGCTTCAGACAGACACTCTTATCTGCTGAGCCATACTTCGGCCCCTTTTTTCTTTATCATCTGTTTCCTCTGCCAGAATAAAGCCTCCTGAGAGTGGGCCTATGTCCCTCACTCACTCCATGTCCTTAACACCTAGGACAATATCTGGCACCCAGAAAGGTGCTTGATAAATATTTGTCGACTGAGTTAGTTAATGAATAATTCAGCAGGGTGAGTCTTGTCCACCATGCTGCCTCAGCCTGTTCCCTGCACCCAGCCTGCAGCCATTTGTGACCATGACTCACTGGGTGTAGCAGTCTCCTGTTGCTGCAACAAATCCATGCAAATGCAGTGACTTAGACAGCACGCATTTATTACCCCATAGTCCAAAAAGGTTCTCACTAGTCAATGTCTCAATAGAGCTGGCTCATTTGGGGGGTCTGGAGCAGAACTCACTTCCAGGATTCTCCTCCCTCGGAGGCTGCGGACATTCCTCAGCACACGGTTCATTCCCTCTTCCAGTAAGCTTGAGCCACGTCCTCTCTGTGCTTTTTCATTTCTCTGCTTCTCTGGCCCCTGCTTTCTTCTTCCAGTTTAGTCTCCTGTGGTTACGTGGCCTTACCTGGTGACCTTGGGATAATGTCACTTGATTAGCCACCTCTATAGCCTTAATCCTCCCTTTCCCGTGCACCCTAACAAACGCCCAGGTTCCTGGGGTGGCGACATCCTTGGAGGACTGATATTCTTCATGTGCCACTTGGGCAGCATCTTCCGTGGAAGAAGCACTAGGGACTGGGTGAGGCGATGCACCCCTGCATCCCAGGGCTCAAGACACTGAGGCAGAGGATAGACGGGCTCCTGTGAGCACAGCCCTGGAGCTGTGAGCCCTGCTCTGATCATTCTCTAGTTATTCTTTATAGGAAAACAAACACTATCAGAGGCTCAGGTGGTCTGTGGCCCCCTCTAGAGCAATAGCACTCAAATGTCACGATCTTTGCGTCCCACGAGCTTCTTTTTCTCCTCTGCTAAGAGAGGTCCCTTAGCTAGGAAGGCTCTGAGTCCTGCCAGTCAGTTCTCCTCCTGGAGCTTCTCCAGCCTGAAGAGGGGATAAGATGGGGAGAGGCATGGCTTAGGGGGGACTCCAGAGCCAGGGTCAGAACTGATGGTCACATCCAGATCTGCCCTTGGGAGAGGGAGTGCACCATGGCACTCAGGAAGGGGTCTCGAGGTTTGTCTTAATCAAAATGGGACTGTACCAGAGAAAAGAACAGAAGGGTCACAGGTTGGGGCTCATGGAGTCCCTGGGGAAAGAAGAGGCTTGAACTCTTTTTATCACCTCCCTGGTAGCATTTTGCTCAAAAGCTCAACTCATAAAACAAATGAAAGAACCTCTCCCACAGCCCCACCCCCAGCAGGCTTGTGGAAACAGCTGTCCTGGTGCTGTTTGATCAGGAACCCGAGGCCCAGGGAGGGAAGGGGCTTGTCCAAGGTCGGAATCAAAGCCAGACCTGAGCCTTGGGTTTCTTCAACCCCAAGGCCCCGCAGAGCTAGATGACCACACCGGTTTTCTCTAGTCCTACCTTCCTGATCTGAGAGAACCTCACCCCTTCGCCACAAGTACCATAGTGTGTATTCTTCTGTACTTTTCTATAAATACTCCAAGCTCACTCTTCTCTCTGGTCTCTGTGCTTCTGGAGGTGTAAGATCCCAACTTGTTCATATTATGTCTCCTTTACTTAAGTGACAACACAGAGTGGAAACTGGATGAATGAATGAATGAATGAATGAATGAATGAATGAATGAGGTTTGCTAGGCAAAGAGATGAAGAGCTGGAAACTTGGAAGAGTAGATAAAAGGATGTGTGTTTGAGAAGCCAAGTGATGACCCATTTGCATGAAAATGGCATCTCTTACCCATACCTCATGGCTTCAGGGCCACTGGCTGCACACAGTCTTGTTTATAGTAGGTACAGAGCCCAATTTAGTTGGCAGACCACAGGAATCAGGGAAATAAAAAGCATCCACTGGGAACATCGAACACTTTGGCCTTGGGTTTGCTCTCCCTGCTCTCTAAGCCACACCATCCTTGAGTGTCTGCCCACTGTCCTTAGGCGTTGTCCACCGGCTAAGCCACCCATGGTCAGCGAGCTGTTGGCTGGTGTCCCACAGAGCTCTTCCAGAGAACTTGCTGATTCCTGTATGGTTCTCTCTACCTTTGTCTCTCCCCACAGGCCTCTGGGCCCTAGTGAACAACGCTGGTGTGGGCCTGCCTAGTGGCCCCAATGAATGGCTGACCAAAGAAGACTTCGTGAAAGTAATCAACGTGAACCTGGTGGGACTGATTGAAGTCACCCTGAACATGCTGCCTATGGTCAAGAAAGCCCGGGGCAGGGTGGTCAACATGTCCAGTTCCGGTGGGCGTGTGGCCGTCATCGGTGGTGGCTACTGTGTCTCCAAGTTTGGTGTTGAAGCCTTCTCTGATAGCATCAGGTGAGTGGGTCCTGGGACCAAACCAGGTGGGGGTCTCGGAGCCTGAGCTGGTCAGTGTGTAGGCAGGGGAGTTCTGGGAAGAAGACTCTCAAACAGGACCAAGGGGAGAAGTCAGGAGGAGGGAGCCCTGTGGAATGAGGACAGAAGACATCACTTGGATCTTCCCATGGGCGGACCCGGAGTGAAGCAAATCCTGTTAAGTCTCAGTATTGGAGAGGGAGGGGGTTAAAGGGGAGGAGAGAAGAGAGGAGAGAAGAGAAGAGGAGAGAGAGAAAGATAAAGCACATAGAGGGAGGCCTGGAGCAGAGGTGCCTCTGGAAGCTCCTCAGAAGATGCGGGCCTTTGTGCAGATACCCTTATTCCTTTAGTCACTTGGTGACTGGGGTGACTGGGGTAGGGCTGGGTGGAAAGAACTTGGGAGGAGGCTGGACCTTGGCCTAGATTCTCCATGGATTTCCTGTTGGTTTTGCCTAATGCAGATTGCTCCAGGCTACTGGATCAGTTTGGGAAAGGGCTGAGGCCTCAAGGAAAGCCATTTGCATAAAGACGTGTTGAAATTAGCTCTGGCGGTGGGCTGAACACCTCCAGGTTTTGGGAGGGACATTGTTGCTCCAAAGGTGTCTCTGATGCCTGACATCCTGAGGCTAGACCAAATGCAACTCTTGATCCCACAGGCGAGAGCTTCATTTCTTTGGGGTGAAGGTCAGCATTATTGAGCCAGGGAACTACCGGACATCCATCCTGGGCCAGGAAACTCTGCAATCACGAATGAAGAAGCTGTGGGATCGGCTGCCGCAGGAGACCCGGGATAGCTACGGAGAGGAGTATTTCCGTGTCTGTGAGTCTCCAAGAGGAAGCTGTGGAGGTTTGGGGGTCACTGGCTGAATTTCAGTTTACAGAGGATGAGACAGAGCCCAAGAGACTATCCATACAGTTAGTAACAATGCTGGAGTTTGAGATTAGAATCCAGGTCGCAGGGCCACAGCTGCAGGGAAGGTGGGAACGGGCGGACAGATGCTGTCTGCTCCGGCACTGCTCCTCCAAACATCGGCGCAGGTGAATCACCACGTGGAAACACACTGAGAGGAGACTAGAAAAAGACAGAGAGTGAGTTTGTGAGAGCCAGACCTCCTGCTGGGAGTCCAGGCTTTGTCTGCCGCTTGTGAGTGAGGACATTGTTTTTTTGTTTGTTTGTTTTATGGTGGTGTCATTGTTTTCTTTTTAAAAGTTTGTTGTTTTGTTTTGTTTTCTTGAGGCAGGGTCTCTGGTAGCTAAGGCTATCTTAAAACTTCCTATTTGCTGAGGATGACTTGAACTCTGGACCTTCCTGCTTCTGTTTCTAAATTCTGTAATCCCGGGAATACACCACCACTCCCAGCCTGAAGGATCATTTTACGCCTCAGTTTCCCACCTGTACGCGGAGCTTAAAGATAGCGCATAGGTCTTTAGGGGAACACTTAAGATCCAAACTACAACAATATAAGTCAGTCAAGCCCATGGCAGGTCTGAACTGCCCAGGAATAGGAGTGAGTGCTTAGAGACAGTTTTCCTGGGCATTATATGTCCACAGCGAGGCAAGGCAAGAAAGGAAAACCGAGAAAGCTCTCTCCAATAGGGACATCTTTCACTGCGAGACTATCGCACATCAGACACTGGGGTGGACAGAATAGCACACTTGCCCCTTGCTGCCCGTAGCTGACGATAAATATCGCGCACATTTAGTGACAATCATGATTAAATGTCATTGCAGAGTAATAAGGCTATGAAGGAAGGACAAGAGGGACTTGGAGCCTGAATTCAGATCCTGGTATAAAAAGAGCTTCTGTTGAGTCAGCTGTGGAAAGGGAAGACAGGGAATCTATAATTATAAGCCTCAGAGGGCTCTGAGACAGGACATTTATGGAACCCAGCAGGTAGGGAGCAGTGAGGGGCAGCTGAGGGAGCATCAGACAGAGCCATCTGCTCTGTGGTCTCAAGTTTTCTCTGGTGGCTGCAGACTTCCAGGGGAGACAGGATGGTGGTTCCAACAGGACAGGAAGCAGAAGTGGGGAGAAGTCTCTGGATGCCTGGAATGTTTTAGGCCAGCAGTCGCTGTGTGAGGAGGAGCCGGGTTTATGTAGGATGAGGGCTGGGTTTATGTTGATGAACCCAGTGGGGGACAGCCTCATTCTCTGTTGGTTAGGGTTGATTTCGTTCACTGTTGGTAAGGTTGATTTCGTTCCTTAAAGAAACTAGTCTTTCTATTCTGCACATAACAGCAGTCTGTGTGGAGAAGGGTGTCCTCAGGCAGGACATCAGATAGAACCTTGGGGCACCGAGTGAAGGAAAGTCTACCCAAACCATTTAAGTAGAAAGGAATTTCTTGCAACAGTGCTCTCCGGGTACAATCTGATTGTACCTGGAATCTGATCAGATTGCTACAGAATGTTACGGTTAGGGTCTGGTCTGGTTTCCTAGCTTCTAAACAGAGCTAAGAATCCTGTCCAGCACCTCCCTGAGAGTTAAGAAACTCATCCTGACCTGGGGGTCACAGGCTCAGAGGAACATAAGGCTGGCTCTGATTGTCTCAGGCTGGGTCTTGTGCCCACGGATCCCACAGAAGGAAATCTGCAGCTGTCGGAAGGATTAGGTGGTAGAGGGAATGAATACTGTAATCTTCTGTGGGATTCTTAAGCAAACAAGGGGCCAAATTATTTACAGACCTACTCTGAGGCTGGGGGTGCAATGTAGGTTTAGTCAGTCTCTGGAAACTTCACAGGGGGTAATACCTATGCAAACAGAGACTGTGGAGTTTCCAAGGGGTCCTTGAAGGAAGATGCAGAGAGGCAAACTTCCCTGAAAGCCACTTGTCAGACAATGGGGAGGGGGGAGGGTAGTAACTGTGCTAAAGAACAGTAAGAGTTGGATTGCTAAACGCCCTAGGCTAAATTACCTATTATTCCACACTGTGATTTTTCGAGAACAGATGATAAGTGCTTTTAGATAAACATTTCCAGCTCTGCAGAGGAGATCTGAGAGCAAATCCCTCACACCAGAACATAACGCTCTAATGGGTAAGCACAGAACGCAAAGCCAATCTGGAGTGGCTTACAGAGACCCAGTTCTGCTGTGACCAGTGGCCCACAGAGGTGATAATGAATCCTTTAGTTTTGCTCGGTGAATAGGAGCTCGCAGACAGGGACAAGATACTAGTCATTTCCCACAGATGCTCATGAGCAATACCTGGAGATCTGGATGTGAGCCGATTCCAGGGCATGATCGCATAACTCTCAGAAATGAAGGCCTACTCACCTAAGTATGATTCTCTTATGGGTTTTTAGGAGAACTGAACAAAACTGGCGTAGAATGAGCCTGGCAAACTTTCGGTGGAGTTCTGTCTACCAACCTGGCAGCAGTATGAACAGGGTAGAGAGGCAGGCAGGGTGGGAAAGCCTCTGAAGATACCCGTGGGTCTTGTCCTGAGGCCCTAGAGGACTTTTAAAGAAGTTCAAAACAGCTGCGGGTGATAAGGGGACCAGATGGGAGGCTCCGCTGGAACTCAGAGAGCTGAAGTCGCAGGTCCTGGTAGTGCAGAGACAGGGTCAAGCTCTGAGAGAGACTGGAGGAATGTTTAGGGGTGACCATCCAGTGCCAGGTGCTCGGGCTAATCCCACAGGTCCCTGGCTTTGAATCCCAGGATGGGCTTCAGATTTCCTGCTTTACTTTTAACTGTGTCTGGGGCAGAACCATGTTCAAGTGGCTCAGCGTCACCAGAGCAGGCGTGAGAACGGAGCACAATGGTCTAGCGCTGATGGATCGCATGATAAAGTGGAGTCAGGAGGGTTGAGGAGGGACAGAATATTAACTGGATTTCTTGTCTCATCTTCACCCGCTGGGAGGCCAGCAAACATTCTCCTTTAGCCACGCCCTTCGGAATGAGTGTCTGTGTGAAGGGAACAGACATCAAGTGTTAAGGCCACAGCGGCAAAGCCTGGGCTCGAATACTTCTTAGAGAGCTGTCTCAAGAATGCAAACTCTTTCTCAAGGGCCCACATCTAAATTGTGTGCTCTTCCCCACCATCTAGGGGAATAAAGAGTTGTGTGGAAACGTCTGCTTCTCTTCCCATCCCATGCAAAATTAGAACTAACAAATATTTAAGAAAACGTGTAAGAACGTACCACCTCTTGTGGCTGGACACCTCCTTCCACCTCACTGTCTGTGGGGATGTTTGCTGCCTGACAAGGCCAGGCGCCCTTGGCTTGACTCCATCATCTCCTCGGCTTGCATGGGTCCTGGGTCTTGAGGAGATGTGCAGAACCCTAAGAACACCCTCACATTCACTATCCTTCCCCGGGCATTGCTGGTGGGAGACCCCAACAGGTACAGCGTTGGAGGTGTCCTAGGGCTCCATCTCTAAAAAGACAGCCTAATTTGAGTGAGCATGGCTCTTTGGAAGGTCCCAATATGTAGCTGAAATTCTCTAGTTTTCTTCTCAGGAAACTCCTTAGAGGCTGTCATAAGGACTCTTGAATGCCATTGGCCAGTCTCCACCAATGATCTCTAAGCATCTTGACGCTGAGGTAATGGATGATGGATGACGTACCTACCTAGAGCAGGCCAAAGTCAGGACAACTTTGTTACTCTGTTCCCAGCTTTAACCATTGTTACTCTTTCCCTCTTTTGACTCCCTGCTAGGGAAGTCTGACCCTCAAGTCCACGTCCTCTGGAGCCCTTTTTACTCTCTCCGAAGTCTGAATCCCACCCCCTATTCTGCACACCTATCTCTGTCCCAGAGTACAGGAGAAGGGGCATACTGAGATGCCAGAGGTCTGCCAGCCTCTTATGTCATGAGCCCCAACAGGCTTGAACTACTTAGACACCCACCTGTGTCTCCACGCCTGTTTGTAGAATTGCCATTTTTAAATTTTATTTATTTTTTTCTTAATGTATATTAGTGTTTTACCATGGGTGTAGAGTCCCCTGGAACCGGAGTTACAGACAATTGTGAGTCACTATGTGGGTGCTGGGAATTGAATCCGGGTCCTCTGGAAGAGCAGTCAGTGCTCTTAATCACTGAGCCATCTCTCCAGCCCCAGAAATACTCATTTTTAATACCTTTTTATTCCCCAGATGCTTTGGTAGAAAACACGGAACGTTGTGCAGTAACTAGGCACCCACCAGCCAATACTTCACTACTTCCAGGTTTCTGTGACTATAAACCTTTCCACTCTGTCCTTCCATATCATCCACTCTGCTGTTAACCGGGAATGGTCTGGGCCAAAAAGATCTTCCGAAGGCACGGGTTAAAGGCTGGGTCCCTGCCGGGCGGTGGTGGCACACGCCTTTAATCCCAGCACTCGGCAGGCAAATCTCTGTGAGTTAGAGACCAGCCTGGTCTACAAGAGCTAGTTCCAGGATAGGCTCCAAAACCATAGAGAAACCCTGTCTCGAAAAAAACCAAAAAAAAAAAGACTAGGTCCCCAAAACAACAATATTCAGAAGTGGGGGCTTTAGGGGAGTGAGTGTATCACAAGGGCTCTGATGTTATTAATGGGGCAACCCAGCTGGGCTGTTGTTCAGTGGTAGAGTACTTGCCTGGTGTGTCTGGGACTCTGTGCTCAATCCCCAGGACCACATGCATCATACATACATACATACAACAGGAAAGATGAGAAAACTGGTGTGATTCTAGTACTTGAGAGACTAAGACAGGAGGATTGCCATGTGTGTATGGGCTATATAGTAAGTTTCCAGGCCAGTTTAGGTCACAGGGTGAGACTTTGTCCTCAAAACAAAACAAACAAGCAAAGGGTTAATCTATTAGTGATTCATACTTCCTGGGCCATGACAGATAATGCAGATTTATCTGGCCCTCGGTGAAAGGTGAAAGAGTGGGTGTGTCCTTAGGGGCATGGCTTTGGGACTGTATGTTGTCCCTGTCCCCTCTTTCCTTCATCCTTCCTTTCCTCCCTTTCCACCTCTCTTCCATCCTTTGCTTCTTCATGGACACCATGAGGAGCAGCTTTACCTGCACCCCCTGATGCTTGGCCTCTGGCAGGCCCAGAACAGCTGGACCAACTGGCCATGGAGGGCAGCCTCTGAAACCATGAGCCAACATAAGCCTTCCCTTTAGTTTTTTTCCCTCAGGTATAAGATGACAGTCATCTGTGCTATGCTCTGGGATCCGTGTGATCCGTGGGATCGCCCCCATTTTGCAGATACCCAACATATGTTCCAGGTCAGACAGCTAGCTACTAAGTGGTTTGTTGTTGAAGAACTGGGCTTGTTCTTTTTGTTGCTCATCTAATAAAACAGTGAGATTTCAGGACACAACTCCAGTGTTTAGAAAGAGAAATAAGGGGCTGGAGAGATGGATCAGAGGCTAAACATACTGGCTGTTCTTCCAGAGGTCCTGAGTTCAATTCCCAGCAACCACATGATGGCTCATAACCATCTGTGATGAGGTCTGGTGCCCTCTTCTGGCCTAGAGGTGTACAGGAGGAACATTGTATACACAATAAAATAAATCTTAAAAAAAAATAAAATAAAGAGAAATAAGATAATATAATGATCTTGTAAAGAGGCGTTTGGTGAGGGACACTGTACCTAGTGTGGGAGACACACTTTAAAGAAGCAGGCGGATCTCTGTGAGTTCGAGACCAGCCTGGTCTACAGAGCTAGTTCCCCAGGACAGGCTCCAAAGCCACAGAGAAACCCTGTCTCGGAAAAAAAAAAAAAAAAAAAAAAAAAAAAAGATTTCTACAAGACAGGGAGCTTAGATGGAATTCAGGGTGGGGGATTATTTTATTAAAGAATAACAGGCTTTTGTTCTATCTTCCTTTCACCCCCAATGTCTCAAACAGATACTGAAAAGTTGGCTAACTATATGCGGCTGGCACATCCAAAACTCAGCGATGTCACCAACAGCATGGAGCATGCTGTTGTCTCCAGGAGTCCCCGAGTCCGCTACAACCCTGGCCTGGATGTCAAGCTTCTCTATCTCCCCCTGGCGAAATTGCCCACGTCTGTGACAGATTTCATTCTGAGCCGATACTTGCCGAGGCCAGCAGACAGTGTTTGAGCTGGGGAGCTCGAGGGGTGGCCAGTGGTGCGTGGAGGAGGGGGCAAAGGACTGTGGGATCACAAGAGGGACACTCACTGCTGGCTTATGTCTCCCCATTTCCGCTGGGGCCTCCTGATGTGGCCCCTGCTGATTTAGAGAGTTGCCCTATGGGCCCCAAGACACCTCTCACCAAGGCAGGTATAAGAGGCCCTGGCCCTGGAAAACTCAAGGAGAAGAAAGCTGGCTTCTGTTGAAGGACAAGCTGTGGCCACCCTGTAAATACCACAGGATAACCTAGTCCATGGGAGACTCTCAGCCCCTCCCCACAGCTCTCCTCACAAGCGCGGGTTTGTGCGTATACAAACTGTGTAATACGGCAGTCGGAACTGCCAGCGCATATCCAGAGAATGTTTGAAGTCGTTTCCTTTCCTTTGCATTTCTCTATCTGTAGGTGATTGGGATCCATATAACACACACTTCTTTAATCACCATTGATTAATGTTTCAAGTATTTATTGATTGCTTAATACCTACCAGGCACTGAGGATCTGAGGGTAGAGGAGGAAGAGGAAATCATGATCTTGGATTTTTTTTGTTTAGTTTGTGTTTTATTTTGTTACAACAGCTACAACAAAGATAGGAAAGTAGCAACAATGTAATCATTCCCAAGGTGACACTCATAATCACTCAGAGTCCATATGGCTGCTGGAGAGGCAGAACTTGCTAACCAGAGGATCTGCGTTGGGTTCCCATGGTAGCCCACTACCTCCCATAATTCCAGTTCCGGGCATCTGAGGCCCTCTTCGGACCTCCACAAGCACCAAGCGTGCACATAGTGTGATATGCAGACAAAACACTGCTACACATAAAATAAGATATGGAAGCTGGACATGATGTCTCATGCCTGTAATCCTAACACTTGGGGGAGGGCGCTGAGACAGGAGGATTTTTGTGAGTTCAAGAGCAAGCAGTTTACAAAATAAGACCCTGTCTCAAGAAACAGACCCCTGGAAAAAAATACATATGAAGGTTAATGCTAGACAATCTGATTCAGTAGACCCAAGCAGAGGCTAGGACTATGAACTGGTACCGAGGACCTAGATGAGTCGATGTACCTGTGTGCACCTGAGAGCCACTGGTAGTGCCGCAGGAGAATCAGCAAACACGCCCAGAGTGGGAAGCAACTTACCCACTGGCCCCCAGCTCAGTGTCCAAACAAACAGAGCTCTTGTTCAGGTTCCTTTTTCTAGCTGTAGGACAGTAACTGTAACATCTTCACATATGTCATGGAACTGAATAATACATACTTTAAAAAACAGCCATGAACTTCTGGGTTATATGAACGTCTGTTAAAAAGAAAAATTCTTCTGAGATACTGAATATCAAACCCAGAACTTGAGCATTCTAGGCAAGCACTCTACCCCTAAAGCTACATTCCCAGCCCTCAGATTTTCAGTTAGGACTCAGGCTGAACGTGAACTTGCTATAACTTTCAATAGTCCCTCAAACTTGCGAGACTTCTGCCTCTGCTCGCAGAGTACTGTGACTACAGACATGTGCCACCAGTCCCAACAATAGCAATTAATTAAATAAATAAATAAAAATGTTGAAATTCTTGATGACTATTTATGCAATAAAGCTCAAATATGATTCTTGAAAATCAAAATGTCTTTGCGTCTCATCAACAGCTGGGTGAGGTTGGAGATAAATGTGACTTTAGTTGTCTCTGCAAACCCCTCCCAAGTCAGGCAGCTGTCGCAGGTTCTAGGAATTAGCATTCCCGTCCCTGGGAAGGGAGAAGACATATATACAATCTGCTACAGTCTGTTACCTACTATTCCCAGCACCAGATTCTGGTTCAGCAGAAGGAACCTAGGAAGGAGTAACAGAAAGCCCGCTCCCACTTGGTTTAAGTGATAGACAGTGAGAGCAGGACCCAGCTCCCAGGGCGGCGGCTCTGCACTCCCACAGCACAAAGGCGGGAATGCCAAGGGTTGTAGCTCTTTGCTTCTTCACTCCCAACTCACAGGGGAGACAGCTTGCTTTCACAGCCTTCCAGAAAGGTGTTTTCTCAGAGCCCCATTGAGGTTTCTTTTAGAATCCCTGCTGTGGATTATTATTTTAACTAGGCAAAAATGTGTTACATTTGTCTCTGCTGCGTTTGTTTAATGATGTAAAGACGTGTTACATTTGTTTCATCCTGCCTGCCTAAGGCTCCTGATTGAACTAATAAAGAGCTGAACTGCCAATAGAGATGCAGGAGGGATAGGCGGGGCTGGTGGGCAGAGAGAATAAGTAGGAGGAGAAGAGAATGGAGAGAAAGAGGGAGAAGTTGAGGGACATGCTTGGGACCAGAAGCCAGGCAGCCACCAGACAGACACAAAAAGTAGTAAAAGGGAGACGACATACAGAAGGTAAAGCCCCGAGGTTAAACATACATAACAAGAAACAGGTTAAGTTATAAGAACTAGTTGCCAGGCGGTGGTGGCTCATGCCTTTAATCCCAGCACTCAGGAGGCAGGGGCAGGCAGATCTTTATGAGTTTGAGGCCAGGACAAGCTCCAAAGCTACGGAGAAAAACCCTGTCTTGAAAAAGCAAAGAGCTAGCAAGAAACAAGCATAAGATAAGGCTGAGCATTTATAACTAATAATAAGTCTCGATGTCATGATTTGGGTGCTGACTGGTGGCCTGAAAGAGAAAAGCTGCTGCCAATCCCACTGACTCAAAGTAGCTTGGGCTCGTCCTGGCCCCATCCCTGATCAGGCTGCAAGCTGACATAAACTGTAGTTCGGTCATAGGATGGGGGTGTCGGAGAGTTGGCCACACTGCTTACCGCCCTGGAAAAGTTCAAAATTCAAACCTCTGTGCTATACTGAGAGTATTAAACAAACATAAGACGTAGCAGCTTCAGTCAAGCGTGGCATGCTTGCCCGTGATCCCAGCATTGGGAAGGTGGAGGCCAGGATATCGGGGGTTTACAGCCACTCTCTGTTACATAGTGTGTTTGAGGCCAGCTTGGATCACATGAGACCCTGTCACAAACCAATGACACAGACACTGTATTATAAGGAAATTGTGTTGGACAACAGCCTGAGATATTCATATATACTTTCCCAGGCTCCTTGCTGTCCCATTTTCCCTTCCCCTGACTCAAGTAGGTACCTAAATTGAGCCTTCACTAGGGCAAGATGTTTGACAGGACACAAATTCCCTTTCTCGGCTTTTATTGCCCCAACTCTGAAGTTGTTAGCGAAATTATGAACTTTAGAGAATGAAGTACAAGTGATGTCACTTCTGGACAGGCCAATGTCTCCATGAAGCTGTCCCTTCTCCAAAGACACGAGGAGTCACTGGGTGATGTCTAACGTTTCTGGGGCAGTTTCTGGAAGCACTTTGGGAACTGGCAAGACAGGTGAGCAGCTGCTGTGCCCTGTGTAAGGCAGGTGAGAGCCTGGGGAATGTCACACACTATACTGGGTCCCAATCTACAGGACAGGCCGGAAGAGCCACCCAGGAAAGGGTATACACATTGCCACAGGAGACGTTTCTCTAAGTAACCTGTGTGCATAGAAGGTTTCGTTTCACCTCATGCCAGTAGCATTCTAGTTTCCGTGAGGAAGAGGCTAGGTCCATTGCCATTAGTTGCCCTACAGTGATTAACAGAGAAGCCTCTTTGAGTTCTAGAACCCACTCTTTACCACTCCCTCTATCTCTTCTCTGTCCACCTGCTAGGGAGGGATGGGCCCTCTGTTTCCACGACACTTCCTGATAGCTTTTCTTCAGCTCATTCCTCAGCAACCACTGCCCTTCCGGGGGCTTTTCTTTCCTGGGGAATATGATTGTCCCCACAATACACCCCTGGAACCTCAGCAAGTTCCCAGATGTCCCTCAACCTCAAGAGAAGGTGGGAAGAAAAATAAGAGCCCAGGTGCCAGAAAGTGGCCACTCTGCCTGGCCAGCCTTTTTGAGGCAGTTCTACACAAGGACACTCTATAAACACGAGCCCGTTGCTCTTACGCTCAATCACATACAGACTGTTAATTGCAAACTCAGAACAGCAAACAAAATGTTCCTGCTGGAACCTCTGATGTGATGCTGAAGATAAAATGACGCAGAAGAGCTGAGACTCCACAGGCAACCCGTCAACCCGTCAGAGGGCCTTAACACGAGGAGAGGGACACATGTCTCTAGTGACTCTTCTAACTGTTCTAGAAAAGGGAAAGATCTGATTTTTAAAATCCTTATGACTTTAAAAATATTTATTATGAGTCGGATGGTGGTGGCGCACGCCTTTAATCCCAGCACTGGGGAGGCAGAGGCAAGTGGATCTCTGTGAGTTCGAGGCCAGCCTGGTCTGCAAGAGCTAGTTCCAGGACAGGCACCAAAACTACAGAGAAACCCTGTCTCAAATATATATTTGCACACACAGACACACACACACACACACACACTGTGCTGGGGCGTGCTTGGAGTCAAAAGACAGCTTGCAGGAGTCAATTCTCTTCCACCATGTGGGTCCCAGACATTAAACTCAGACCCTTAGGCTTGATGGCAAATGCATTTTCCCAGCGAGCCATCTCATGGGCCTATTTGCGGATCTATACTAAGGAGTTCTGCATGGCACTCAAGCACCTCAGGTGGCAGGGCAGGAACTGCGTGAGCCACCCCTGAGACGTGGACAGTTTAATGGTGAGATATGACTCAGGTCTGGGAACCTGCTGGACAGACAGCTGAACGTGCAAGGATTGTAGCTGCTGGCTGGAAGATGGTGCCCTCAGATGTCACCAAAACAGACAGGAAGCTGAGCACCACCCTAGCTGCCCAGTGAAGTATACCTGAGGGAACTACACATGACTCTGGTTTGTTTTCTCCTAGACCGGATGCCCCTTTATTCCAAACACTGACCTCCAAGAAGACGGCACCAACGTTCCTAATAAGAAAGAGGCATCAAAATAGTAATTTGGTCCATATCCCATACTTAGTGTTGAACCCTGGCCCTTGCACATGCTAGACAAGTTCCCTATCATTGAGCTACAACCTCTGCCCACAAGTTTTGTTCTTACTTTATGCAAAGGAACTTTGCTTTTCGATCCAAGAGGACGTCTGATTCCAGTTAGTCACAGTCCATGGGATGTGGTGCTTTATTCTGCAGATGGAAGCTCTTCTCCTTCCTGCGGCCCCACTGAGCTATTCAATACAGACTATTCAGAACTGTGTGCTCTTTGTACAGCACACCACAGTTTAATTAGCTTCCTTTATATACAACGTCCATGTCCTATGGAAAGAGACTTGATTTCATGCTAACCATTTTAGCAATCTGCTGCTGTGTGTTTTATGAGACAGAATCCCACTCTGTAGCCCAGACCAGGCTGGCCTCACCCTATGGCAAACCTCCTTCCTTGTCCTCCAAAGTGCTGTGATTATAGGCGTGAGTTACAACACCAGTTAATCTGAGTGTTTTATGCATGGGTCTTACCTCCTCATCCCAGGGCTTTGCTCATAGCTCTGACACAAGCTGTGGCAATGGCATTTGGGAGTTGGAATCCAGATATCTGTATTAAAATTCTCTGTGCTCTTGAACAAATTATTAGTTCCTTGTGAGTCGGTACCTTTTCCAATGAAGTGGGAACAACAGTGTCTCCCCAAGAAGCCATGGTAGAACACATGTACTGTAACACATAGAAAGAAGCCGTGGTAGAACACACTTACTGTAACATATAGAAAGAAGCCGTGGTAGAACACATGTACTGTAACATATAGAAAGAAGCCGTGGTAGAACACATGTACTGTAACATATAGAAAGAAGCCGTGGTAGAACACATGTACTGTAACATATAGAAAGAAGCCGTGGTAGAACACATGTACTGTAACATATAGAAAGAAGCCGTGGTAGAACACATGTACTGTATGTAACACATAGAAAGAAGCCATAGTAGAACACATGTACTATAACACATAGAAAGAAACCACGGTAGAACACATATACTGTAACACATAGAAAAGCTTTGGAAAAGAAGAGATCAAGTTGGGGTTGGGAGATGGCTCAATCCAGGCAAGTGTGTAGACCCGGATTCAGATCCTCCATACCCACATAAAAAGCTGGACATGATTGCATGCATCTCTGACTCTAAACACAAGTTTGAACAGAAACAGACAGCTCTCCAAAACTCCCTACATGTAAAACTACAGAGGTTCCGTTCTGTGCTCTACTCGCTACACGCTACGGGAAATAGGCTGAACATTTAAAAACATTCAGACAGAGACAGACAGACAGGGCCACGGGGACATCCTTGAGACAAGAATGCCTACTTTATTGTGCTCAGGGGCAGCTTATATAGGGCTCTGGCCACGCCCCTGCTCTTGGGATCCTTCAGCTGCCGACCAACCAGCCTGCCACCAGGGTCTCATGCTCAGAGCAGCTGCAGGCTGCTCAGTGCAGAGGAAAACAAGTTGTTTACAAGAAATTCAGGGTCTGGTGGTTTAAGGAGTGCCCAAGTCTAGTCAATTAGGTGCCCGGCTCAGTGAGAGACTGTCTCAACTGAGCAATCAAGGAAGACGCTGTTGAACATCAACCTTGGGGTTCCACACGCATGTGCATAAAACACACACG